AATGAAGTCATTGGAAGTTCGAACAATCTTGATAGTTATCCATATTTATTTATACATGAAAGTTCATGTTGAGCAAGCCTGCATATACTACTGTACAGAGTTAAAATATAGCAGAAACGGCGGACACTTCAAAATTCCCTCTTCCCTTCCAAAGGTTGCGGAGTGCAGTTTGAAATTCCTTTTCGGTGAAAATAATAATGTACCTGAAAGAAACATGCCCGATTTCGTCAACATGCATTATTGCTTCGTCAACATGCATTATAGCTAGCGGCAACTCAAAGATCGTATTTGATTGGTTCGTGATTCGATTGCAGAAAAACTTGAGCGTTTACATCACAGAGCGCTTTAGAACAGTCTAGACACCACTGGAACTGAGAGGGTAGGGGAGAAATTTCCTTGAAGATGCCCCCTGTGGTGTGCAGAGTGTGGAATAAAACGGAAGGGCTCCTTATCAAATGGCACAAGAAATGCGGCAATGTTTCTAACGGGGTGGGTTTCGGGAATGGAATACGGATGATTCCGCGCTAAGATGGGCGAGACTCATGTCAGTGTGACTTCTAGATTTTTCTTTTTGGCTCGACATCGCTTTTATCATCGCTCGTGGATCAGGTCCCTCCTGTTTTCGTCCGTCCTTACTTCTACTGTATGTATCATTTGCGAACCCTTCACAACTTTCTGGGAAAAATTTTTCTCGAACATTCTTTTAATTATTGCGCCTCTAAATCTCTTACGTGGAAGAGATCATGCGGGGGTTTTCAGTACTCACGGCCATGTTTACCGCAGTTGTTTGTAATAAAAAGCCGTAAACCCCTGTGCGATGAGTAGCTTCGTCTTGAAGAAGTGACGAATACGGAGATGATTCAGAGGCCATGTCCCAATCTATGGTAAAGGTGTCACTGTATTAGAAAGTCTTACGGTGCTGATGCAAGATACAGTTGCCACGCCACTACCGTGAGGATGAACTGTATCGTAATTCCCTCGAAACAGCCAGCCACATGGAATGATACCAACATTAGTACGTAGAGAATCGAATTTGTTGTTGTCTGAAAGAACAGTTCTGTCAAGAGAGCTTCTTTAATTTTCATAGTCTCAGACTAACAAACTTTAGAAATAACCCGTAATCAATACCTGAAGAAACCATGACCTTTCCTTCTTTGATCGGCCAGGGGAGTAAACTGTTTTCTGAATATATCGGCACAGTCAAATGCATTGGAATTGGTTTTTAGAATGTTTGGTTCAATACGAACCCCTCTGTAGTAGGCTTAGTTTAAGTAAACAGTAGACGTCGACAAGCGTAGTAATGACTGCCATTGTGAGGTTGTAAATCAGATCTTGATAAAGTGAAAGTGTGCGTCCGCATTCTTCATCACTGAACTTGAATTGGCGTACTTTGTGCATCGAAGGTGAAGTTGCAACCTTCTGAAAAAGAACAATCCAAAGACATTACGGGACACGGGACTGGCTGGTTGGATTCCAGCTACTCCAGAGACAGCCAATTCCATAACGAAAAAACATGCAGTGTGGAGTGGGTGGCAGGGCAAAAAAGAATGCTCTGCTCCCATGGAATTTCATAAATTTTAGTTTATCTGAAAACTGGTGGAACTTTGACAGTTCGCGCTGTTACATACTTGCCTCAGGCTACTGGAAAGCGTCGTTGTAACTGTGGAAGACACGAGCTGTCTTCGAGCGACGTGGCTGTGGTTCTCGATTTACATCTTCGACCAGACGAGCTAGTAGAACATTAGGCACTCTGGGATCTTGAGCACGTTGGCTCGAAGGGCACAGACGACTTCACATTCCGGGGCCGAGAATAGCATCTGGTACACTTGTTGAGTGTGGTACTGCTCGGCACTCGAGAGCAATTTCACAGGTACTCTAGTAGTCTGTAAGTCGAAGGTTCCTTCGGTCTCACCTCAAGGTAGAGTGAACTTCTCAATAGTGAACCGGTTTTCAAAAGCACAAGTTCTTTGAATCACAATAAAACTTATCAAGTCACCTGAGCAGAGCCAGACGCCACTTGCTTTAGATTTTTGTTTTTTGAACCTATGCTGCACCTAGACCAATCGAGTTAACTCGGACTTCGGGGGCGCTTTTGACAAAGGCAAACAAAGTTCTCCAGATGGCACAGAAGGTGGTCCTGTTGCGCGGCGGATGGGTGGAATAGAGTCAAACCGCACAAAGATTCATTTGTAATTTGCCGAGCACTGCGGTGTAAAAGGTAGACGCCATGCTTTTTCCTGACTCTCCATGATCAATGGACCACTCATCTCGTCACCCTGTTGAAACTGCTTATGATAGGTAAGCTATGCGAATTTAAAAGTTGTGCCTGGGCAATAATCCCTCCCAATGCAACTTGCTTGCTTCTAACTGTTATGAAATCGACTAACCCTTCAAATGGATAGTATTATGAACCCATGCGATCACCCAGCACGCTGTGATCGAGACCATTGTCGTTTTGGTGTTGAACCATTTATTGTAATGACGAGGGAAGGTGACAACGATGAATCGATTGACAGTCATCGCTACCGACGTATAGATACTCGAATATTGCAGTGACAAGGCCAAGTAACCGACAATGTGTTCGTTGTCCTCATGTAGCCAATGACCACTGGAAAACATTGAACACATTGAAACATATGATTATTTACTAAAATTACACTGGCAATGAGTTACTGGGACGCTGCGCTAGTTCAGGGTTCCTGATAAGGATGTTGCTTCACTGAACTGGATACCTTCCAAGGTTATGCACGCATATCTGTGTTT